GGCTTTTTTTTTCAAACTTTCAAAATCCTTTTTCGTAATCGTCTCTTGATCTCTTTCTTCTTTCTTTGAGAGTAATAGTGTATATATCACTTCTGGTTTTAGTGTACGAATGCTGTTAGTTTTTCTCCTCCTTCCTTCCCTATGCTGGGCGGCTTTAGAGGATTGCTTTGAGCGCATTCGCAACCACACACTTATTGGTACGACTGTCGTGACACTCGATGATGTTACCTTGGCACAGTGCCAACATGCTTGCCTTGAGGCAAAGAAACAAAGTTGCAGGTAGACATAATCGATATATTGATTTTTACCATTGTAACACTTGTTCAGATCATTGATGTACCATGCTGCAAAGAAGCGATGCTATATGAATTCCGAGGATATGAAAACGCGTGCATCACAGTTTTTCCCAATTTTGGAAGCAGTAGACTACTACCACAGGACATGTTATTGTAAGCGGATTACGGTATTAGCTATATTCTAAGCAGATAAGTTTTGAGATATATAGACAAGCCAAGCTCTCCAGTCAAACGTGAATCGGTTTTTGAGGACAGTTGTTACGAAATTATCAAGGGCAAGGTAAGCTACACGAAGAAAATTAGATACAAATTTAAGCCTTGCATATCATAGGTATTGATTGGCATAGTGGATCAACTGATACAGGACGTGACTTCACTTGATCAATGTAAGAGGCGTTGTCAAAAGAGTAAGGAAGCTAGCGATATTATCTGCAAAAGTGCCATCTACTACGAGAAGGACAGGGTGGGCCATGTTACATCAATTTTACTTTTCACTACATTAGGCACTGCTTACTTCGAAAACATTATGCAACCCCCGCCATATGACAGGGTAAATTAAACCCCTCGTAGTGATTTAAGTTCTTATAAACTGGCTGAAAATTCGTGACCAGCTGTATCTGCAATGCATTCTTATTTTTTGGAAATTCCTAATCTTTTCCATAATATACGCCTAAGCTATGACTAGGCTCATAGTCTAGTGAACCTATCTTTCTAGGAGTGCATTATTGCGTCACAGTCACGTATGGATATTCCCGATCTATTTATTGAAGACGATCAAGCAGTTTACATCGAGAACACATGTCTCAACCAAAGCGGGGCTAATATGAAGAAGCTGAAGGTAAGTATTGTGCTACTACATGCGTATGAGGGAGGAGGTGTGGAGAGGAGGGACTACCTAATTTTCTTAGCCAAATATTCCTTGCAGAATATGGCGGAAACGGTTTCGGAAACCACTCAGCAGACGACAACCTCGACAACTGAGGTAAGGAAAAAGTTCCCAGTAAGATCTGGAGAATCGTTACAACTAGTCCCGTGTTAGGAAATTCACATCCATGCGAAAAGTCGTCCTTTCTAATTTTTATCTTCAATAGGAAACGACAACAACCAAGGAAGAATCCTCGTCCTCCTCTACCATAGCACAAAGTCCGATTATATCGAGCAAATTCAGTAAACAGCACAGAAAACCAGTAAGTGGGCAAAGGTTATTAGCTGAAAAGCTTCAGAATCTTATCATATCCAGCCACACAATATTGTCGAATTATCTGGCTATGAAACTCCATCAGAAACTGTATCCAATGAACTCCAAGCAGATGTGATTACAACTTCCACGCCTACTACTACCATCACTACGACCACGACAACGGAGATACCCACGACTAGCTTTGATGCTAAGGTAGGGTTCCTTGCGGCTTAGTGACGTAATAGAACCATCACTGACCCTTATACCCTTATCTAGGTCATCGACTCGTATAATGTGGATCCTGTTGTGAAATCACCACCTACAACGGGTTACGGGAGACGTTTGCGTGATTCGAGGGTCAAGGATTGCTTTACGTGGGCTTTTACGAGAATAT